CCGACATTCTCGCCAACTTTGGCATCGCTTTTGTCGCGGAGTTCTGCAGGAGGTTCTCCAACACAGTAAAGCACCTGAGGAGCTGTCTGTGATGCCTTGCGTCCCTCACGAAATTCCTTGATTACCAGTTACAAGTATAGAGAACAAGGAGCAGCGAATATCTAGCAGAAGCTAACTAACCTGTAAGAAAACCTTTCCAATAATGATATCTTCCGGGTCACGGAAGATTGTGCTGAAAACTATTGTGACACGGTCGGCTTTGGCTTCTATGTATCTGAAAAAGCTGCAGGACGTAGTAAACGAAGAAAATTTGCTCATAATATGATTAACCACAGTGATGGGGACAAGACTCACTTACGTTCAAATAGTTCAAAAAAACCCGAAAAAGCAATGACATTAAAAATTTATATCTTTTACTCAAATTGAAGCGAAGTGGGAAATGTTTCAAAAAATTTTAATTTTTCTAAAATCTATTGAGTAGAGGTAATATAATACGCAGAAAAATGATGTCAACTAACAGCGTCTCATCCTCTCGATAATGGATAACTGCTTGCTTTTGACCCTCCTGACCTTTGGTTTGCAAGTCAAAGTATTTTTCAAAGACTGAGGCGAAGCAGTTTCGCTTCAGCAATGCTGCTTCATTGACAATATCAAGGTAATTATCAGGGAACTTTGACAGGTCGTACAGCAGTGACGCATCGTAACCCTTTTCGGAAGCAGTAAGGTATTCTTTGTACTTACTACGCAATAACTAAAAGACAGTCGATTAGAGCAAAGCATCTAAGACCTCTCCGCAGGACAACATAGAAATTAGAATAAGTTCTCAAAAAGATGTATCTTAGAGTAAATTTAGAACAATTGAAACCTCTGAAACCTACTTCATCAGCACCGTGTTCCTTTAGATCTTTGTAGAACTTTAGAGAAATACTTATCTGAAACCTAAACAGTTGTTCACCAAAAGAAGCGAAGAGGAAAAAATGTACGGCATAAGAGTTTCAAAAAACTGAAATCTTTAGTTTTCTGGACAATGCCATACGCAGGAAAATTTTAGAAACAAATTGGTTGAAATAACTGGAAAAGGCTGACCATGATTTTTGTGCGATCCCCGCCAGGATTTGAAATAGCAAAAAGTACTCCATCAAAGTCGGCGACGCGAATATCGACACTATCAGGTTTACCTCTAGAGACAGAGAGATCCACTCAAAGGGAGATGAAAAGCAAATAAAAAAAAAGTCAAAAGAGGGACATTAGAAGTAGGGAAACTGTGGGGAAAAAAAGAACATACCCAGTTTTGAGTTGCTCGACCTTATTTTCCAAAACGTCACTAATTACACGATTGTTCTGCTCAAGGATTATCATTTTATTTTTAAAAAACAAATTTCAAGAAATTTTAGACACTCTTCTGTCTCACAGAACCAGATGCACCTGTAACAGAAGTAGAAGAATGAAAAGATAACTTAGTTTAATTGAGTAAAAACAAAACGACTTTGCTTAGATTAGAGTATGGGACATGTTGATCAACCACGATTGATAGTCTTGCAGCTACAATTAACACCTGCTAAGCATCATTTATTTGTAACTCTAATGTTGTGGATAAATTCTGGGTGAGTCAGGGAAATCTAAAAAAGCGGCCGCTGGACACGTAAAAAATTTTAGAGATGTATTCGGGATTTAAAACATTAGCGTTTCAAAATTCCTCTGTGAGATAGCATTGAGCATTGGGAAAACCTATCAGCCATAGAAAAAGTTGCGCCTTTTGAAAAAATTTGTATTTTATTAAGTGTTATCGTTGGATTGCACCGCAACCAACCTTTCCCAGCTACAGGACGTAAGCTACTAAAAGTCTAGAGGCAGGATCTATTAGCAAATCTACTGTATGTATACATAGTAAAAAATAAAGCGAATTTCTGCAATTCACGCTTATTCTTGTCATGGCTTCTCCTAATGATGTATGCCGTTCTGATGAAATCCTCGCTCCAAAGACTTTGACTCGTCTCTTTCAAATGCCCTGATACACTTGGCACTCAGTACTTTTGATAGGTCTATGAGACTTACATCTCTGAAGATGAACGACCGAGCATTCCTACCAAAACTGAAATTCTCGGATAACAAGGAATCACCAAACTCCAAAGTTGGATTGTCACAGTAACACTTCAAATCTGACCAAAAGCTTCCGAAATTTCCAAAATGGTCCCTTTTAGACTATTCATTTGAGTGGACTTCCACGTGGAGCTGACCAAACACCTCGGTAGCTTCCAATATGCGTAAAATATCTTCAAGACATCGAATATTGAACACTTCAATCGTGGACCAGCTTCTCGCCCTCTACAAATGTGAAGCAAAACTGTCTCCGAACCTTTCACCGGCAGCAGCTGTCAGCTGATATCATTCTGCCGCGCGGTATACACAAAACATCATGGTGAGGGCGGTACGCGTACTTTCGGAATACATGTTTTTATGCAATTGACCAACTAATTCCACTCTACTTACAGATGTCATTAATTACCAGTGAAAAAAATTTACCAGGAGGTTCATTTCAGGTTTTTTTTTTTTTTATTGAATAAGACAGTAAAACACAGCGACAGAAATTTTATTTATATAAACAGATGGAGGAATAAAGAAAGCAGTTTTATCTTATCAAGTATGACAGCTTTACCGCATTTAAGACAGTGTAAGTTTTCAAAGCCAGATTAAACTTGGTAATGTCGCAAGCCCAGTTTTTCTTAAAAACTGCTGGAACTTCCCACAAAAAAATTTTGTAGTCGGAAAAAAAAGCGATAGAATGTAAACCTCTTACAGATTTTTTAACCTGCGCATACCTCAAAAAGTTGACCAAAAATCAAAAACTATTTTGGATAACAGCATGTGAAACCAATCGAACTAATAACAAAGTGCTTTACTTAATATCAATTTCTTTTTCACAACATTCTTCACTAAACTTCTCCTACCTTTTCGTGACTAAATAGGTCAAGCAAAATCAGTCTTTTTTTTTTTTTTCAAAAACTGAGTCATTCGGTAACAACTAGCTCGCCGAGTTGTCAATTAGAGTTGTCGAGTCAGTTGTTTTTGAAAAACTCAGTTTTTACCAGAAAAAAATGAGTGATTTTGTTTGTCCTATTTAGTCAAGAAAAGGTAGAAGTTGACCAAAGAAAATTGTGAGAAAGAAAGTGGTATCAAGTAAAGCATTTTTTTATTAGTTCAATTAGTCTTATGTGCTATTATCCTAAATATTTTTCGATTTCTGGTCAGTTTTTCGGGTATACGCAGGTTAAAAAGTCTGTAGGGGGTTTACATTCTACCGTTTTTTTCTTTCAATACAAAATTTTTTGCGCAAGTTACAGCAGCTTATAAAGGAAACTGGACTTGTAGCATCACTAAAATTTCTAGTGTCTCAAGCAAAGCTAGATGGTCAAACTTAATGAAGATGAAATTTTTTCTTACTCTCCTCGACTAATTATATACAGAAAAAGGTCAGAGATCATTTAAACAATACGACGTGAAGTAAAAGGCAGAGTCACCGAATGTAAAAATCGTCCAAAAAAATGTAAACCTCGCTCGAGTGTGGAATGATCCTTCTTCACTTTTGACGAAGTAATCGTGTTACAACATTCAAAAAATTCAGCCTATAATAAGATAATCTCTTTAATAAAGCTGCTGCACTGTTCAGGACTCATTCATGCCAATAATGTCCCGAAAAAGCACACCGTTAGTATTTCCCGACATTAACAAACCATAAAGGCAGAAAGTGAATAAACATTTTTTAAACAGAAATTGAATCTTTAAAAATTAAGCATTCACCCATGATTTTCCGTCCTTTTCCCAACTCAGTTTAACACGTTTTGCTAAAAATTTAGAAGTATATATCGCCATACAACCAATTTCTGCACGAGCGTTCCTTCGTGCCAGTTCGGCAGCCATAAGTCCACCAAAGGAAATTAAAGTAATCAAATGTCCATACGACAATTGGGTTGACACCTCATCTTGCACACGAAAAAACTCCTCGACAACCTTAAACGACACTTATAACAAAGTGAAGATTGGGAACTGATATCAATGCCAACCAAATGTTGATGAATTTAGCGCATTAAAGAAGGAAAACTATCTATCTACAAAGGGTTAGGAAAGCCCGCATAAACTCCAATTTGAACCATTATAAGTCTAGAAATAATAAAACTAAGACGAAAGATTTAAAAGATAGAATAGCTAACCTCAACATAGCGATGAAAGGTAAGATATCTGTCACTAGACAGTTCCTTAACCATTTCTTTTAATTCCTTTTCATATTTTTTTTCGAAAATTAACCCGACTTCCCTCATGATAGCATATTCTGATATATTCTCATACGGTAGCAAAGGTCGATCGTACCATTCATCGCCATTCAACCTAACACGCCAAGTAAAGTAATCTACCACAAACCCCTGAAAGTTTTGACGTGGCGACTTTCCGTCACTGAATTAACCAATCAACAAATACGATAGCTCAATTCATAGAACCATTAAGAAAAGAAAAATAAGCATTATTTACTGCATTGGTCAAACTCACCTTAAGTGTGAGTTCTTCGTCACCAAAGTTAAAATTCGGGTTTTCAGTCGCATTTTCATCCGTAACATCAGTTTCTGCAAGTTCTATTACCATGCCTACAAATCTATTTCTCAGTCAATTTTCCAAAATTGCCCCGAAAAGCACAATGTGTTCAAACCAACAAAACGGCACTGCAAAGCAAAAAATAAAAAAAGACCTGCAGAAACAAGTAACTAGAAACAATCGATGAATAAATATGCAAAGGATCAACGAACGAAAACCCAGAAGCTAGGAAAATAAACTGCAATCGTTGACGTATCGAGTAGCTCGTTCGTATTTAGTACTACATACAAGAATTATTTAGATTATTAAACCAACCTAGAAAACCATAAGTAGATTATACTTCTAACTCAAATTGGAGTCTTCTGGTACCATAATAATATATCCTTTCTTTGACTGCATTAAATATTATTCCTATCGGAAAACACTATAGACTACACAGATCACTAAGGCAGTAGTTGTAAAGAAGAAAGAAATCGTTCCACTTTTCAGCCAACCTTAGTACGTCGAATAGGAGTTACTGTGAAAATACGAGTCGCAAGTGTTAAAATCAACAGTCAGTTTCAGGCACAAATTTAACATCGACATAGTCCGCAATATGTAAATAAATGGAATAGACTGCAAATCAGGTACAGAAGGCTATTGGGAATGTAATAATAAATTCAGGACAATACATATTATAAAATGTAAATGTAAATTCCAGACGAATTCTATAAGTGGTTATTTGGCCAAGTTTAGGAGCTAATTTAAAACCGATTTAATTTAACATCAGAGAATTTGACATAAGTTCCTCAAACAAGAACGTTTTTTAATGGAACCGGTCTGCTTCCATCAAAGTTCGAACAAAAAATGTGCCCACTAACACCATCTTAATCATTTTCAGTACTCTTCCAACAGAAGAAAAAGAGACGTCCAAGTCTCAGGCTAACTGGACAAAAGCAAACGCAAAATACCAGCCACTGCAAAAACGCTAAGTCTCTATGCATCAGACACCATCCAGTCGAGCTGTCTTTGATTTTTTTTTTTTT